CTGATAAAAATGATCTGATATTAAAGTTACATCTAATGACTTCAATTTGATTATGGTCTAACTACATTAAATCTAAATTAGAATTTCTTAACTTTAGAAAGTTGATTATTTCGCTTCAAACCCATCTTCCTTACTTTCAGCCAATATTTTTTTGACTCTGGATCTAATTGTTCTAAAGTAAGAGGAGGTCCTATATGAATATTCCATAGCCAATCAGGATACTCATTATCAGGTTTTATCTGCATTTTTTATAAAATTATTTGCAAGTTTTTATTATATAAGATGGGAATCTAACTTTTAGGATGTAAGTATTATATATGAATATTATGTATAATTAAATTTATTATAATTTTAAGGATATAGTATTGTGTCATTCATCACTTTAGGCAAAAAAGAATAAAGTCAATTCTGTTAATAAACACAATTAAGTATTCATATGGTAGTTCAATTAGTGATGTTATGTTCAATAAACTAAGATTAAAATTGAGATAAAGTAAAATTATTAATAGATTACCTTTACATCTTCTCCTTCTTTCATAATGTTACTTCCACAAACATATGTGAGTAACCTATTGATATCCGTTTCTACTGGTAAAACTTTTTTCTCCACAATGGGTCCAGATTTTTTTTTCTTGGCAACCACGACTGAAATTTTTTCAAATCAACTTATAAAGCAAATACAGTTTTTCCAGATTGGATAATACGATAATTCCAAAAAATACCTGCGGGTTTGGCATAGTTTCTAGATATATCAATTGAAGTGACAAATAGCTTTTTGATTTGAAGAAATCCATTAAACGTTCTGGCATACATATTTGAAACTACGCTTTTGTACGCGAATCAGTTTAAAATTAGTATACGCAAAAAATACCAATGTATTATTTAAAATAACCTACAAAAAGTATTAACTTGAAGATCAGTTATTTGACACATTGCATGATTTCAATGCTAACAATACACAAAAAACTATTTAAAATGTGACCAACATAGAAAATTGTTACGCGCTCAAAAAATTTGTGCTGTTCGTTGTTATGAAAATTTTTGCAATATTTGTATTTTTGGTTTAAAAATGTTTCAAATTAATTTTTTATTAAGAGACATTAATTAACACTCGTCTCAACAAGTTGCATAGCTTGTGATGATAAAATTTAAAATTTATGCTACAAGTTGTACATTATCAATTAATCCATGCCACACATTAATTAATTATTGAATTCATATTCTAAGAAGCAAATTCATTGTCAATTTAAAGTAGCAATATTTATTTAATTTCTTTGTAGTAATGCCATTCACTCATTATTCATATAATTTTTCAACCAAAACAGCAATAAAATGTGAAACAAGAAAAAAATACTCTCTAAAAAAACTCAATTATAACAGTAAGGAATAATTAACGCTAAACTCACTGAACTAATGACAAAGTACAGTTCAGAAATGTATTTAGATCTTCAAATTATAGACATAATTTTTCTATATCAACATAGTTCATTAATCAAATATAATCCTATAATGTATAAATTGAACATTCCCTCGGGTTGAAAATGTGTATAAAATTGATTAAATAAAATTCATTCACATATTACTTATTTATAGTATGAGTACAAAATATTAATTATACATAGAAAAAACTGGATAATATACTACATCTAAAAAAACTTATTCTCCTAAATGTTCCTTTTTTTCTTTAATTGCTTCCTGCAAATAGAAAAAGTTCATATTATATTCACTTTATCATTTAATAATTATTCAACAAATAGGTTTATTAAAAATATAGATCACCTTAAATCTTTCCTCAAATAAAGACAATTCTGCTATCAAATCTGTGATGGCGCTCATGAAAGCTTTTTGCGGAGAAGTCAGAAGTGAAGTAGTTTGGATTCTCAAAACAAATTTGTGTTCCAAGGGGTGAGGTACTTTGTATCCAGCAAACAATACATCAGGATCTTTCAATAATTGACTAAAAACCAATAGAATATAATATAACTATATTAATAAAAATTAATAATGTGAAAAAATAAAAAAAAACATTAAATATTCATACTCTCTAATCATATTTCCTAAGGTATGATCTTCTTTATTGACCGTAAAAATAGCTGCATTAGGCACTTTTGTGTCTTGTTCTCGAATTACTCTGAAATTGTAAAGTAAAAAAATAATAATTTCTCGTACTTTGGTTATTTTTCTACAACTTATTGAAATATCGTCATTTACTTTTTCTCGCCTTCGAATAAGAGAAAGGATTCGAAAGTTGGGGGCGCATTCATTTTGAATAATATAAATTTATATCTTCAAAAACAAGAAATAAGGTTTATTCACTTTTTCATATGCATAACCTCACATAATTGCTTGACATATATCGACCATAGATAAAAAAATAGAATAAATAGATGTGACAGACAGGACTTCCTGAATATAATGAAATGTAAACAGTGGTACCAAAGCAATTTTTTGTTGGCAGCATTGAGTGTCACAGCGCTCATTCCAAATGAAAGTTATAGGTTATATGCACAAAAACAACATTTTTTTGGCGAACTATAAAAATGAATTTGTACGTGAAAGATGCGAAAAATGAAAATGAAGTGATAACCATATGTATGTAAATTAAGTTAGTTAATAAAAATAATACATTTAATATTATTTAACATATAATAAAATCAAATAATATTTGGACATAAAAATAGAATTGTATGTTCATACTTTAATATTATGACCTCAAACGCTAAAAGGACGATTTATGTGGGAGGCTTAGCAGAAGAAGTTGATGAAAAAGTTCTAAATGCTGCTTTCATTCCATTTGGTGACTTAGTTGATATTCAAATGCCAATCGATTATGAAAGTGAAAAGCATAGAGGTTTTGCTTTCATTGAATTTGAAAGCCCCGAAGATGCTGCAGCTGCTATAGACAATATGGTAATGATAAGTTCAAATTTAATAAATCTATCTTACTATATTTACATCAAGATATAAATAAATATAATGCATAAGTATGTGCACACTTTTACATGTAACACAATTTTATTGCTATTTTATATAAATATATATCATTATATATTGTTTTTAAATGAAGCTATGGAACTTTTAATACTTCAGCGAATGAAATTTAATAGTAATGAAAATTTGAGGTAGAAAATAATTTATTTATTTATTTTGTGTTCTTGAATGTTTTATTCAATTGTAGAATGATGCTGAATTATTTGGTCGAACAATAAGAGTAAACTTAGCAAAACCCCAGCGAATAAAAGAAGGTAGTACTCGTCCAGTATGGTCAGAAGACTCATGGCTTCAAAGACATGCCGGGGCTACATTGAACAATGATGATAAACCAGAAGCCGAAGCAGAAACAGGATCAAAGACTAATAATGATGTCCAACCAGAAGAACAAGCAAAGAAAAATCCACAAGTTTATTTGGAAATTGAAATAGGCAATCAAAATGTAGGAAGAATTATCATATTGCTTAGAGCAGATATTGTTCCAAAAACTGCTGAGAATTTCAGATGTTTATGCACTGGTGAGCAGGGATTTGGTTATGCAGGAAGTGTGTTTCATAGAATTATACCAGAATTTATGTGCCAAGGAGGTGATTTTACAAATCATAATGGTACTGGTGGAAAATCAATATATGGACGAAAATTTGCTGATGAGAATTTCACACTTAAACACACTGGCCCAGGAATAATGTCTATGGCCAACTCAGGGCCTAACACAAATGGAAGCCAATTTTTCATATGCACTGAAAAGTAAGCAATATTATTCAAAATAAATTTGTTTTGATTCTTTTAGGTATTCCGAACATTTTACAATGCAAGTTTAAAAAATAACAGTTCCTTTTTTAAAATTTCATTACACATAGTCTTATGTAAAAATTGATTGATTCATTTCTTTATAATTAACAGTGTAACTTATAAATTTTATTTCATTATCAATTTTTACATAGTTTTTTTATATGACAAAACACTATTTTTTATATTTCTTAGTAATATTGAATATAAATAACTCATTTTAATTGTACATTTGCAGGACTGAATGGTTAGATGGGAAACATGTCGTATTTGGTCAAGTCATTAGTGGTATGGACATCATAAAAAAAATGGAAAGGTGTGGAACCAAATCTGGTACTCCTAATCAGAAAGTTAAAATAGTGAATTGCGGAGAACTTAAATAATATTTTATATATATACTTGCAATATATATATATATATATATATATATATATATATATATCACACAAGATTGATTTTAAATAAAATGTATTAGTTCACACAAATCTTTATTTATTTATGTTCAAATGTTCACAAACTAAAATATTTCTTTGATAACAAAATGCTAAACATAACAACGTTTTCAACCTACCTGTATCTACAGATTAAAAGACACCATTTCACTATTTGTATGTTAATGTTCATATAATAAATCATATTTATTTTAAACTTTTCAGTAGTAAGTCCGCAAAATCATAAATTCATCTTCTGATATTGATATTCTGGAGTCTCAAAACAAAATTTAGATTTTGTAACTTGTTTTCTCCTAGAAATTCCTTCAAAATAATCAAATCCATAATTAGTTGAAGAATAATGATCAAAGTTATATAAATTACTCCGCATGTTAGGTTCAAAATTCCTGGTACTGTACTGCTTATCTTTATGCATATATTTATTATTTTTTTCTTTCTCAGATAAAAACATATTTAATGGGTTCATACATGTGATTGTATCAACTGTAAATTCATTTGGGTCAAATTTTTTTCTTTGATTTTCAATTTTTTATTTATTGACGGTACACTATCAAAATCAAAAATTAATTTGTGGTGCCTTTCTCTTGAGTAGTGACTTTGTGTATAAATATTTTTTAATGTTGATATTGTGTCGCTTAAAACTGTAATGTTTAATTTTTTGCATTGGTCACTTACTGTGTTTATTATACCATCAAGATAAAATTTAAATCGAACATTTATATCTGAACCAAACGATGACTTCTTATTCCTATTATTTCTTTTTGGGTTGCATAAATAAAAAAAAGTTGTGCATATAGGATTTTCATGAAATAATGTTTTTTCAATAACATTATTTTGGTTAAAGGTGGATAATGATGCAATATCCTTCATTCGTTTTCTACGCAGCATAATTTTAGGTTCAACATCAACATTCTTTATACTTTGAACTGATTCAACATCATTATATGTTATTCCACAAATAGCATTCGGACTCTTACAACTCTCAATTCCTTGCTCACTCACAATGGTTGATAAATCATATTTTATTGGAAGATCGTCATGTTTGCGATGGGATGTTTCTTTGACAAAATTGTCTTTCAAGATCTTTTGCAGGTCGCAATTTATGCGTCCTTTGAATTCTTCATATTTAAAATCATGTTTACGGGCAATTTTACTAAATATACTTTTCGCATATATACCTTGATTTGTAGTTAATCTCTCTTTATCATTTATCATTGATTTTCTTTTATGAACGGTTTGTATTTTACTTGGATTATGAATTCGATTCATTCCAAATTTTACGATTTGGTTTTCAAAAGCACTTTTATGCTGCTTCCTTTTTGATCGTTGGTCACTTTTTCCATTCTGCGGCTTTTTTTTAGTTAATTTCTTGCGTTTGATTACAATGTGCTCCATGTTGTGAATAAACACTTGACTTTCATTATTAGTTCTAAAATAAATCACATTGAAAATATTGCAATAAACATCTGAACATCACATTTCACAAAACAATCAAATTGAAAAACAAATGAACATCCCACACATTGCGCACGTCATTTGTCAGTTTCATATATATCAAGAAGTACAACATCACAATTTATAATATGTCACTTTCATTGTTATTTATATTAATAGAATTGCTTCTAGCATAATACCACATAATACTTTAAAATTTGAACGCATGTTTTTGTTGTCAACTGTACCCCGATAGCCTCACGAGCTAAGCTTTTTAGAAATTAACAGGCGCACCATAATACGAAATCATGACGAAATCTACGTCGATTCGTGGATTCGTGTTAAGCTAAATAAAGTTAACTTTAAGATGCATTTATCTAAATCTCATTCAGATTAAATGATTGTTTCACAAAATATGTTTTTCCTTATTATAAACATTTGAACATATATTAATTCATTGTAATACATCGAAGAGGTTTGCAATACTGGAAACCACAATCTGCTGCCAACTCACATCAAACATAAAAAATCTCAAGGTAATTTTGTCTGATAACCCCTGAAGGCAATGTTTTTTTAGCTCATGTCTCTTTTTTAATTCTTAAATTCTTACACTAAGGGTGGGGCATGTGGAAACTGCAAAAATGGGAATTTCCCTGTAATGCACTATTGTGTAATAATTAGACTTGCAACGAATAGTATATTCGGCAAAATGCCGAATACCGAATATTCGGCAGGTTCTTGCTCCTAATATTGCTTGTATTAATGTAATTGCTATTAGTAATTACTAATATATCAATTAATTGATATATTACTAGCGCGCTACATGTTTATTTAAGTTTTATGCCTAGACTTGCAACCACTATATAGTGGCGAATAGTACTATTCGCCTACTCTTTGCTATTTAGAAAATTTGGCACCATTTACACTAGTCGGCCGAATACCGAACACTTGAATACCACATGTGATAAAGAAATAAATGGTAAAATCATTAAAAAGGCGATACTTATCACTTATATATAAATGTATTTCGAATTATTTCTTTCATAAATACTTAATATTTTCTTTTATAAACTCAATATTATTTCTTATGGATGCTAATCATTATGAAATAAATAAAAAATGATCAAAAATATTGTTTGTATATTTTGCGATAAAGAGCCAGTTTTAGCACATGTGTGTAACCATTGAATGATTCATATTGAATAATATAAATATGTAACAATAAAATAGTGTTCATTTATAATCTCAAAAGTTTAAATTATTCTATATGCAATAACGAAATCATTTCTTCATATTATGTAAATATACAGATCCATCGCGAGCTCTTTATCGCATGAACGATAAATCACCAACAATCTTGTCGCTGAGCGACGGCGGCGCCTTTGATTTTATCTATTCGATATTCGACCGAATATTAAAAAAAGTGCCAAATATGCCGTTTACCAAATAGTAACCGAATATTCGGTGCAAGCCTAGTAATAATGCATTTCGTGCGACTTTAATAAACAATCAAAGTACACGGTCAAAGCGCGAATGCGCACATATGTCACGCCGCTATCTATAATAAATAGAGTATAGATCGTCCATACAAGTTGGAGAGTCAAAAAGTAACATCAGAGCAACAAGATGTAGCTTGGAGAAAATCAGCGTATCAGAAAGTAACATCAGAGTAACAATAAGA